ACCCCACAGACCGTGGGAGAGGGGTATTGGTTTGCTTTGCTCCACCTCACTATTCCTCGCTAAGGACAGGCATGTGTTGGTTCACCTTACTTAGCTCTGCTGAGTTCCACTTGTGGTAATGCTCCATTGAGAGAAACTGAACTGCCTGTGAGGTTTCTTCAACTTCCTGCCAACTCTGAGGCCTCAGGCTGGTTGCCAAGCCTTGAGGTTTCTTCATGACTGGACTGAAGCTGCCAGTTCATGTGTGGTGTCTGCCTGCGTAGAGAACTGGTCTGCAGCTGCTGAGTCGTATTCGGTGTTTGCTACAGGACTGAACTGCTGCCAAAGAAGATCGAGCTCGCCCCAAAGAACTATTGCTGAACAGATCCACTTCCCTCATATCCTAATAACTCTTCTCTTCCACTACCTCTGCTGGGTGGTGGGCTAGAAGAGAGGTTGAATGTTTAGTAAAAGTAAGTTGCAAAAAAATTTCTGCCTAGAGCTTCCTTTTGCGTTATTTCATCGCTTGTTTTCCTTTCCCCAATTAGTATAGATAGAGCCATATTTCTTGGTGTATTCATCTTCATAGTGAGCTTCAAATGTGTCTATAGAACAGTTTCCTAAAATAGGAATAGCTGAGTCAAATACTTCAATATTAATAGCTATGATTATATTGACTTATAGAAAGATCTGGCCAATTAACACTTAACACTGAAAATTTTAAGTGCTTAGATCTGAAAAGCTGATGACCAAGAACTGTTTGCTCATGCCTGCATTTGGTGCTATCAGATGCCTTTGCCCCTGTTCCCCATGTCACCACACTAAATAGACATTTTTATTCATTCATTCATTCATTCATTCATTCATTCATTCATTCATTTATTTATTTATTTATTTATGTTGTAACTCTGTAACTGGCATAAGGGGATGGGTGGCCAAGCATGACTTGTGGTTGCTTCTAGAATACAGACTTTATCCTAAAAACTCATGATGGAGTACATGGATCCATTCCTGGCACTGAAGTCCCTCGAATCTGCAGCCTCGCCCTGCCAGGTCTGCTGTCTCACTGCAGTGCGGGGTAGCTGGTCAGTCAGTAGGACGTTCTATGTTCAAGGTGAGGTTAAGGTTTCCAGTGGTGCCTTCAGATGACTGTGATGCTCCCCACTTCCCCACATCTCAAGATTTCTAACAGGAAAGCTAGTTTGTGAATTAAGGTTTGGTTGACGTAACGCGTAAAGTCAGGATTCAGTGAGCTGAGAGTTGACTATTTCCTATTCCTATTCCTTGAATCTATTAAGATTTAAAAATCTCTCTAGAAGTAAATTTTAACCAATTGTATTTTTCTAAAAGTCATATTCATGTAGATCTGATAACTGACAAAAAATTATATATACCCCTTTGCAAACTTTAGAATATTCCTATTTAGAGTTGAAAGCTTTCCATCTCTAACTCCTGTCTTGTTAAGAGTTGACTATTTTATCGATCACTTCAAAGACTGTGTTTTGTTTATTAATTAAGTCTATTCCTTTTTTTAGTCCTTTATCTTAAGAGTTTTACTACAGTCTGTCCTGCTTTTCTTGGTTTTATATAGATACTTCTGTCTGGCTTTGGGGGGGGGAGGGGCAAAACACCCGGTTCATTTATTCTTAATCTTTTCTCTTATACATTTAAAACAAAATATTTATCAAGTATATATTTGCATATCACACAACATAATTATTTATAACTTAAAATTCCCATCTGATTTTTTTGCACTAAGATGATTTTATTCAGATTAAAATTTCACATTAGTGTGGTGATTGATGTTGTTGAGAGAATTTAGAATCTCCCTTCTCCTTTCCTTCCTTCCATCCCTTGAGCAGGAGATCCTGGTATGCATAAATGGGGAAGGATGGCCACTACAAGCGTCCACCACTTCCTACTTCTTGAGTGAATATGGATACAGTGAGATCAACTCCTGTTGCCCCAGCTTCTCCATGGTGGACCATGGACTGTTGAACTGTGAGCCAGAATAAACCCTCTTCTCCTTGCGTTGTTTTTGTCTATAAGTATTTTATTGCAGCAACAGGAAATGAAATAAGGACAGGTTTATTTTTCTCATCCTCTAGGAGTTTGTTACTAAAGGTCTCCTCTATGGGCTCCAGAGATCTGACTCTCCCCTGCACATATCTGAGTTCTCCGGTTACAGCTGGTAGTGAGAGGCTGAGCTCACACTTAATAGAGTTTAAAATGTGCAGATTAATATAGGATGCTGATGAGGAAAACCTTGAACTTATAGTTTGGTTTCAAAGAGTACTTGCTATGGCTCCTATCTTTATCATGAAAATGAGTATCTCTGGTACCGTTTTCCTTTGAGATGCTTGGTCCTTACGGTTGGGGCTGTGCTGCTCACCTGTGACCCACATAAGAGGCTCACTCTGTCTGTCCTCTATCTCCTTCAACAGCATCTCATCCTTGATGTCAGACTACAGTGTGAAGATCTATTTGTTTGCCACTAGAACCAGTGCTCAACTGAAAAATTCTGACCCAAAGGTCTGTGATGGAGCCCAGCACTTCTTTAAAATTTTTTCTGAAGAATTCTAATGCACAACCAAGTTGAAACTCGGGTTTTATAAATATAAGTTAGAACTATATACATAATAACAATCAAAGAAATAGAAGTCATGATTTGAAAAACCAGGGGGTAGGGTCAGCACATAGGGTTGGGGGAAAAAGGGCAGGGGGAAATCATCATATCAGGTACTTTTCTGTAGCTGTGATAAAAACATGACCAGAGTAATTTATGGAAGGGAAGGGTTTATTTGGGCTTACAGTTCCTAATGGCACATGCCTATAATCCCAGTACCCGTAACATGTAGGCAAATAAAAAAAAATTAAAAATAAAATTAAAAAAAATTGCTCTACTCAAGACCATTCTCAGCTTCACTGAGACTCTCTCAAGCACTAACTCACTTTTTATGTGTACCCTCCTTCACTTTTGCTTACTCTCATTGTCCAGTTCTCACCCCTAATTTTACAATCTTCGTATTTCTCAAAAACTAACTTCATATGCACCAGCAACCTCCCTATCTACCTCTGAAGGCCCCTAACAACCTCTGCTTTGTCTCCAAGGATGTCCCCATTTTAGATATCTTATACAAACAAGCTCCTATCATGTATGGTTTTTGGTGTCTAGCTTTTCCCAGCATGTTTTCAAGGATTACACTGCACCCCGTATCAGTGCCTCACTTCTTGTTATGGCCAGATATTCCATTGTGCGGTTAGTGGATTCTTTACTCAGTCATTGACCAACCAGCACTTGGCATATGTAATGTTTGAATAATGCTCTGTAGGTGCTACCTACAGTTCTTCAGAGGCTTTCAGCCTCTCTGGATTTATACTGAGTGGAAGGGTTAAAGAACCCTTTAAAGATTGCGTCAGTGCAGGATGGAAAGAAGTCCAAAGATTCACAGGTTCATCAACCCCTCAAGAACAGAGACACCAGAAGGTGTATTAATCTTAGTCTGTCACTTGACTGGATCTAGGTTTAGCTAAAACATGTGCCTCTGGGCAGGGCTGTGAGGGTGTTTCCCAGAAGGATTAATTGGGGGAGGGGAGGAGACCCTCCCCAGAGGGGGCTGCCACCCAGCAGTGCAGATCTAAAGCAGTGGGAAAGCTGTGCTGTTTCTGGGGCATCCCTCCCCTGCCTGCTGGTGACTATGTCAGCCCTACTTCTGCCTGTGTGGCTCTCCTAGGCCAACACATGGAATCTCGCTTCTTTGGCTTTCCAAAGAACAGGGACCAGCAGCTCTCTGGGATCTGCTAGGCCACCATGCCAGGCTGGACTGCTGAGGACTTCACTCAGCTTCATGCACTGGACAGCTGCTAGTTCTCTGTCTCTTCAGGGTGAAGTCAGCCATATGGACTACACAGCCCTCCCCATGGCAGCCAATCTAACAAATCCCCTGTATCGTACATCCTATCAGTTCTGTCTAGAGAACCTGACACAGAAGGGAAAACAAGTTTGCAAATAGGCCACAGCTACTGATAATAGGGAAATATTTATTCTGTCTTCAGTTTAAGTAAACTTTAACATTGTACAATTACATGGAGAGACTCATAAATACCAAGAAAACATATGTGACACCTTTTGTTCTAAGATGCGCACTTTATTTCCTCTGGAGTAGAGAATGACAAGGAGCTTTGGCTTGCTGCTTCATGATCTGATGAACCCCCAATCTGCACAGACTGCTCAGAGTGAAAAGTGTAAGCTGCGTAAAACCAGAGATGCTCCACTCCTTGGAGCAGAGGCTTCTTCAGAGGCCAGAACCCTATCCATGGCAGAGAACTCACCTGTCTCAGGCGACCCTCGGAGAAGACTGTGGCTAGAAGCTTCTCTGCATCCTAAAGTAAGCGGGCAGGGCATGTGAGAGCAACTGAAGTGCTCTTCAGTCTTTTTTACACTCTCACAGATTTACACTCGTAGTTGTGGATGCAAAAACCATTTCCTTGCAAGGCGAGTACCACTACCCTGTAGGTTAACAGGATCATTTTCAGCATCTATTTGTTAATAGTTTCTCAGGATTCAAAGGACAAAAGCCGCATATGAAATCACAAAGCCACATCTAATACATTAGAGACAGAGCACACTGTGGCCTATCATTTGTTCAAGTCTAGCTTTGTGAAGGACTCTTTCAACAGTAGTGTGAGGCTATGCTCTCCCACTGTTCTATAGTTGCCTGGCTAAACTTGAAGGGTACGCAATAAAGACCTCTAAGCAGAAGATCAAAGGTTTGTACAACCTATAGCTTTTTATTAGCAGTATGTACAGTATATGAAACATACCAGTCGCCCAGCGTCTTTACCTGCTTCCCCTGACAGATGCATTAAACAGGCACCAAAATAGGCCACAGCACACATTCCACCTATTTCACTGAAGGCTGGTGCTTCAAGGTTTCAAGTGCAAAGAACTATTAAAAGAGGAGAATGATTATTTCCCACAGAGAAAAAGAAAATGTGAGTGTTAAGTCGCTGCAGAACAGCTACTTTTTCCTTCTCATAAACCTTTTTGCTTCTTTCAAGAGCTCTTCCACATCTTCCTTCTCCTCATCTTCCTTTCCTGGTTGCCAGTCAGAATCTTCATCCGTCGGCTCGTAGTCTTCCTCGTCTTCGTTGTCATCACTGGGTTGCCCAGCATTGTCGTCATCTTCATCCACAGCAACTCTGGCTAAAAGACAAAATATTGACAAACGACACAGCAGTCACTACTCAGCAGCAAGGGTTTATTATTATAATAGCTTACTACTTTAAGTTTTTAGGACAGACACTAAACTGATGACTTGTTTCTTACTGTCCTAACTCTCCACACTGAGGTCCCTGTCACTAAACTGGCCCATGAGAATCAAAGTGATGGTCTCTGATAACACCATGCCACCTGGTCTTCCCAGTGGGAGAAAACACTTCATGTCAGCTCTCCTTAGTCCCTCCTGAGAGGGTTATTCTCCCATCCCCACTGGCTTGGCCACAGCACGTGCCATCTGTAAGGAGATGCTTAAAAATCGAGTTTAAGAACCAACCTAGAAACTTCTCTAGACATCTCAGCGGCAGGGGCAAGCCCCAGCAGCAGGTGCCCAGGGTACAAGTCAACAAGTCTAGGAAGTCCCAGCAGGTCTGGATTCTCTCCATATTGTCCCAGGTCCCATCTAACTTTCCTCTGACCTTGGACGCCAACTGCTGTAGGAAAGGGCTTCCTGCCAGATCCCCCAACTTTGTTCTTTCTGATTCTTTCCAACTCTGACTGATCTGTCTACGTACAGACTCCAGTTCTCTGAAAGTCCATCACACTTTCTGGGGAAGATGGTTTAGGGCTTCTCCGCTGTTCTGGATGCTCAACTTCTCTCTTGCCTGTTAATTTACGACTCTATAATCTCTCTGACGTTTTAAAAACATTACTTTAAATGCTTTAGCCAGTTTTTTGAAAAGTATTAACACCTGCACTTTTGTGTATATTTTGTTGTTGTATATAATGTTCACATGTAATACAGCATTATAGCTTAAATGAATGCCCAAATAATATATTCTCTTATTGCTATAGCCTAATATGTTTACATTTTCTCAATATCACAGCTCAATTCAAAAAGGATTTAAGGTAGCTTATATTCATGATAATGTAATAACATAATGCAAATAAAAGTAAAAGCTAATAATAGAAAAAGCAGAGTATATAAATGTCCAAGTCAATTTTGAAATACTTATTATACACTGAACACAAACAGTCTAAGTGTCTTAGTAGCCAAAGCTAAAAAGATTACATAGTAATCGCACAAGTCTCATAAAGAGGAAGTGCACAGCCCCTTCCCAAGGGAGACACTGTGGTCCACTCACCTGCAGACATATCTCCCGGTGAACAGCATGAAGAATGTTTCGTGTTCAGCTAATCTTAACCCATCCTCATTTTCTTACAGCAAATGCATTTACAAAACAGCTTAGGTGTCAGAGTAGCTTAAATTGAGGAACGGAGTAAGCAAGGAAAGCCGATCTCCACCCTTGCACATGCTCTCGGAGGACTCTCGAATGCTTTGTCAGACACAAACACAAACGAGCGTTTGCTATGCACTAGCATCTAATATGCTACTGATACCTCAATAAACTGGTGTCTTTCAGATCCAGAAAGCAGCTTAAGGATCCACAAGAAAACAGATATTAAAGCAAAGCCCTGACACCCATCCTGTCTGTCTCTGCAGGGCGCCCTCACCCTACTGCCTTCTCATTTTTAGACCACCCGTGTTTCAAGCTGGGGCCTGTCTCTAATTAATTTCTTAGTGATTCTATTTAATATTATTTCCTAACTCTTCCTGTGTATGTCTAAGCCCTGGCCAAATGCTACAAATTCTAGCCTCCATCCTATGGCTTCCCGAATAGGTGACTAAGAGGCTCTGGAAACTATTGCTACCAGGACAAAACTCTCGAGCCCCCTCACTCAAACCTACTTATCTTGTCCACAGTCTTGGATACACAACTCCTATACTCTCCAACCTGTCAGCTAGAGTCATTTTGATTCTCTCCCTCCCTGAAAACTGACTCCTATCTGGAATAATCTGGCGGCTCTGCCTCCCAAGTATCACCACTGCTCCCCTTACCAGTCCGCCCTAATTCAATGCTATCATCTCCTTCCCGGAAGCAATGCTCTCTTAGAGCCTCCAACTGTCCCCTCTAGCCACCTTTCCACCGAGAGCCGAGAACACCCCCAGTAGCTGAGTATCTCATGCTGGAAGACTTGAAGTCATTTCTGTGCACTTATCCCTATGGTCTGATCTCACTGCACACCTCTCTGCTCTCTCCCTCCTCCTCTTTCTCTCCTATGGCAAGGTCTCACAGTGTAACCCAGGCTGGCCTGACCTCGCCTTCCTCTGCTTTATGAGTGCTAAGTCATGAATGTGCTGTTCTCTGTTCAGCTCTACCCGTGTTGTTGGTCCTGGCACAGTCTAAGAACAGGTAGGCTTTTGAACTCACTTGGTTTTCTCCATGCTGCAGGCCTGTGCTCTAATGTCAGGACCTCAGAGTGCTGTTTTACTGTGCTATGGGAAGGATACCTTCCTCCAGCCCCAGTATCCCAGACATATTTCCTTACACAGACTTTTCTTTTCTTCTTTGTTAGCGATAAAAGCATATAACATCATGTAGCTGTTCAGATATACACTTTCCATCATTGTAAAACTCCACAAGTGCAGGGCTTCATCCAGCTGCACTGGGGTACTGAGTCCTATTCATCAGAAGAATCTCATTTTCTGTCTCCTTTACAAAGCCTAGAGCCTGATGACAGTAAATTTCCCAAGCAGGGTGCTTTACTGATTTCTGAATGAAGAAACATCACTGCATTATTAGGGCGATGACGCTGAAGTTCAGCTCTTGTCTGTTAACAATGCCCCACGGATACTGCATTTCCCCTTCTGAAGACAGGCTTTTGCTGGGAAGCCCAGGATGGACTCAAAATTGTGATTCTTCTGTTTCAGTCTCCAGAGTGCTTAGGTCACAGACCTGGCTAGACATGTGTTAACATGGTTTTAAATGTGTTATTTATCTGACGTGTATGTGAGAAAGGGGAGGAGCATGAGGGTGTACACAAGAAGTTTGGAGGGTCAAAGGACAATCTGTGGGACCCTGTGTTCTCCCTCTCCCCCAACCCCCAACCAGACTTGGCAGCAAGCACTTTACCTGCTGAGCCATCTTGTAGATCTGAAAAGTAACAATCTTTGTGGGACCAATTAATACTCTCCTACAGTAGACTCATTTAGTGTAGGAAGCCGCTGAAGCCGCGTTTGCCTGGCATCCGGGATTCTTCCTAGTAAACAAGTAAATTGCGCATGTGCCATGGTAAAAGCCCGCCAAAGTTAAAGCCCATCCCACGGCGTTTTGGCGCGCAACGAGTAAGCAGCCAATCAAAGGTGAGCACACCGCTCTAGGGTATATATAGCAGTGCTTTCCCGGGCCTGGCGTCTTCTTCGTCTTCTTCTTCCACCATTTTGTTTTTGGGAATAAACGTGTTCTTACGGAAGGATCTTGATATGTGTGGCGTGTGCGTTCTTGCTGGCGAGACGATTACACGCGCGCCTCACAATTTAGCAAGTTTAAGTATTAAATAATGCAAATGCCACTTAACGTGGAGTTGCTGTTCTTTGTCCCATTGATGGCGGTTTCTGAAGGTGGTTTTAGAAATGTCTGTTTCTGTCTTCCAGTTTAACTGGGCCACAGAGGTATTGAAAGTAACTCATAAACTAGGAATAAGTTGTCTCTACCATAAAAGCCAATGTTTATAAGCAAAGAGAATGTGGAGAACAGCCGGAGACAAGGTAAGAAGCCCCGCTGCACATCTTATGCAGGACGGAACTGTGGTGTCCAGACATCTACATCTAACCAGGAAGCCTCTCATTCAGCTTGGGACAGCACTCACTACTTGCAAACTGTACAGAAACTTTCTGATACAAGGGTACTTTTCAGTTGGAGAACTGGGGAACTCAGTCCTGAGTCAAAGTGAAGACTCGTACGGCCAGGCTCTACGCTGCAGAGAAGCCCATTAGTGCAAAGGTCACACAGCACCGAACTGACAGGAACCCAGAAGCAGCTGTTCCACTTTTAAATCAGTAACAAAACACAATGTAATAACTTCAATTTTCATCGTTCTGACTCCCAGTAGATGTGCAAAGAATTCCATAGCATAACATTTTTAATTATGGGCTCGTAGCCTTTTCTATATTAGACCTAGTTTATTATTTGAAATATAACTTCTGAGTAAACATGCAAAATCAAAGTGCTCTTGTTTCTTCTAAAGTAGGTGAATACAGAAGTTACTCGTTTTCTTTTGCAGCTTTCCCCAACAAAGTTTACAGGTTTCTTACTGCTAGTTACTCTAAGTCTTATGGTTGGCTATTCGTTCTGCTTCTCCAAAACCAGTGTGGTTTGTGAGAAACAGTAGGTAATTATAACAGTAGGAATATAAGTACAGATTTCTGTGTCTTAAGTAAGCCAATGAAGATTGCCCTAGTTTGCTTTTTTTTTTTTTAACGCAGAAGCTTTTTAGTTTATTTGTTCTCTCAGAAATCTGCACATCACAGCAGCCTAGTTTGCTTTCTATTGCTGTGATAAACCCCCATGAACAGAAGCAACTTGAGGAGGAAAGGGTTTATTTCATTTTACAGCTCACAGCCATCTCTGAGTGAAGTCAGGGCAGGAGCTCAGGCAGAAGCAGTGGCAGGAATGCTGGAGGAGAGCTGTTTCCTGACTGGCTTTCTAGTTCACACACAGCCAAGGCCCACATGGCTAGGAATGATAATGCACACAGTGAGACTGCACACAGTGGGCTAAACCCTGCTACATCACATCAACCAGCAACCAAGAAAACGCTCCACAAATATGCCACAGGACAGTCTGATTTGGGTAATTTCTCCATTGTGGTTTCCTCTTCCCTGGGGACTCTAGTTTGTGTCAGGATGACAATAAAACTAACCAGGACAATCATGAAGATTACCTCACATAATGGAATTCAATTTT